GGAAACAAGTACACCTATCTTTTTAAAAAGATCAGGAGAAAGTCTGGGGATTAAGGAAAGCTTCCTTCAGAAACAAAAATCCTTACTTTCAGAAAAATTAGTTGAAACTTATTTAGTGCATTGAGGGCATCTCAGTGCCTAACAGTGGCTGCTTCTACACGTGCTATTCATTCAAAGTAGGCTTATTGCATAGTAAAAATACTGCCCAGCAAGCCTATCCAGGAGCACGTCTACACATGCTCCCTCTTCTGAGATTTGCTCCCAATGGGCACATCCAGGTGAGCGTGGACATGTGTGTCCCAGGAGACAAGCAGCAGTGGCATACCTTGTGCCGCTGCTACTTGTCCCTGAGGAATGCCCGCGCCATGCACACACTGGTATGTGGCAGGTTACACTGGGTGGGGTAGGGGACACTGGGTCTAGCAACTGTGCCAGTCCCAGCAGCCTTACCTGGGGTCTTGGGGGCCTCCTGGGGCTGCAGCCATGCCAGGAAACTTGGTCGGCACCCGAAGCATGGCTCCAGTCTGCCAGACTCAGGTTTTGGGCGGCATGGACTGTCACCACATGCACCACCTTGCTTTTTGGTGTGGGCTTTTTTGACCCCAGGATGCCCCAGGGTTAACCTACCTCCTCTCCCTCCCTGCCCCCCTGCCCACCCATGCTGCAAGGCAGCAGTGTGGTCTGGGGCAGGCAAGGAGAGTGTGCCACACAGCTTGGAGCTGGCTGGGACCTGCTCCTCCCCTACAGCCCTTTCCCAGCCCCCTACCCCAATCAGTTGGTGGGGCAGCTAGCAGCAAGCCCCTGGCTGGGCAGGGAATCCAGTGGGACAGCTCCCTCCCATCCCCGTCTAAGCAGGGAATGGGAGGCTGCCCTGGCAGCAGGCAGCTCTTTGGGGCAGGGAGCAATCTCACAGCCCCGGCTCTATGATCACAGAGCCAGGAGCTCCCTGTGGCCAAAGCAGGGGGGGCATTTTCCCCAACTAGACTTCACCCCCGGAGCCTACCCCAGCAGCAAGCAACTCCCACAGGCAAGGAGCAATCTCCTGCCCCCCTGCTGCCTAGGAACAAACATGCTCCCAGTCACCCTGCTACATGTGCCTTACTGTGCAGTAACTACTAGGCAATTAATTTGCTCCGTGCATTTGCAGGTAGCAAATTAACTGCTGAGTAGAGCAAATTACTGCACAGTAAGGGTCTGCACGTGTAGATAATTATGCTTACTGCACAGTAATTTGCTCTAATGAGCAGTAAGGCATCTTGTGTAGACGCATCCAGTGAGTCAGGAAAAAAAAAGAGAGTATGGAACAAAAATATTACTCCCAACAGCAGACACCATCATCTGGAATATCATGTTCATCACTGGAAATGCCCTCTCAAAAATATTGCAGAAATAAGAGGAAGCAAATCCCCAGCTGGTGCAAACTGTTGTAGCTCTATTCAAATTGTTGGGTCACTTCAAGTTAAGATTTTTCCACCAAACAAGGATCTGCTCTCAGAGGAGAGTGAAAGACAAACCTTACAGGCATGAAAACATTTCTTATGAAAAAGAGATTAGGAGAGTTGGGAAGAAGACAAAAAGGCATGATAGGGAGTTGAACAATGAATAGCCTAAAGAAAGCTAATAAAAAAACCAAAAACATTTACAATTCTTACATTATAGGAATAATCAGAGATTTAAATGAAATTGAAAAACACGTGAAACCAAAAGGAGTTTTATAATAATGCATAATCCACCATGCTATTAGACAGGGTAAAACAATGTTTATGAAAGCAAATAAACCTTCATACGTAAGTGACATAAACTAATCATTGATCACTAGGGAAGAAACTGATTTTGTGAGCTGTTTAATCTTTCCTCTCAAATCACTCAGAGACAGAACACAGGTTCATAGGGATTAATATGATCTGGTTTTGCACTCCTTTATGTTTTAAAACTTTTGTACTCTAATTTTGTCCAAATAGTTCTATAAGTGGCTTCTGAGTGAAAGCCATTCTTTTATATAAAATTTGTTTATACACTAAGTAAATGAAAAATTATTATAGAGAAAAAAAATTGTGCTGACCAAGCTCATGCAAGAAACTGTCTTCCAATTCTAATTCTAAAAGATCCTGCAACAACACCTGGGAAGTTAAGATACAGATCTAATGCTGGCTGAACTCAGCTCCTTCCCCACCAAGCAAGTCAGTCACAGAAGGATGAAGTTTCATTCAAGCTCACCATTTCTTCTGCTAATTAATGGAGTGAAGGAAGGAGAGGGAATTAAGGATTTTTTTTTTTTTTGTAATCAAACTTCCATAAGTGTTTGTGACAAGAAAAGATCTGTAAAAAAGTTAGCTAAAATACTTAAAAATATAAACAAACAGACGAAATACCTGGAAAAAAAGGAGTCTGGAATCCACGTTAGTGTTTGTCTTGAAGTGCTGAACCTATAAAGACAAAAATCAGAAGTCACGCATCATATATCAACACATACAGCATATCAAGTTGGAGTTTTTTGTTTTTCAAGACGGTTTAGAAAGAAGTGCTACAGAAATCTCACAGAAACTTGAATCCTGAAAGAATTCCTTATTGTCTGTGAAAATCCAAAATATATGCTTGAAAGAATCCTATTATTATTTCTTAGTTACTATTTGAACCACATTAGCATTCCTAAGCTCCAAATCAGTAACTTATTCATAGTGCTATACAAACACAGTGGAAATACCCATTTCAAATATCTTCCAATCTAGTGCCTTCCAATTCATGTATCTGAATAATTTTATGCAAGTAGGCTGATCTGTGGTACTCCAATGTAGGAGTCAGTGATAGCCATAAGTAATTTATGCAATAAACAGAAGGAAAATTAGGACAGCAATACATGTAGATCTTGAGTTGAGATGAGCAGGTTAGATAATACCAAAAGAGTAACAATCTGATTATTAATCATAGGGTAGGTAGAAAAACAGGAAATGAAGTAGCTGAAATGTAGCTGGGAAATACATGTTACAAATCTTCTATATCAGTGGTGCTCAAAGTACAGTCTGCAGGTCAGATCTAGCCCATGGAGATCACCATGGGTTTGGAAATTTGGTGGCAGGGAGAGGTAGCCATGTTAATTGCCACGGCCCTGGGAACAATTAACGTTGCCCCCCCTTCACCATACTGGATGGCATGGTCCCCACATGCTGGATTGGGCCAGTGCATGGCCCCAGACCTGGATCATGGGCCAGATCCAGTCTATAGACTGGCTGCACCCCAACTCATCCATGTGCCAGAAAGGTTGAACACCACTTTTCTAAATGGTTTCAGTATTGGGGAATCTTAAAGAGGACTTCATTGACACAAACTATTTTGAAAGGGGAGCAGCTAAGAAGAAATTCAAGAATAAAGTATCAATGCTCCATAAACACTTATTATAATAAATAGATGCATTTCAATATTTCTACCATAAAAGAACATGCATTTTATGTATTTAGCATTTGGCCCCAATTCATATTTTCAATGCCTGCATTTCCTATTTACTGAAGAAACTATTACTTTCTCCTTCCATTAAAAGAGAAAGCACAACAATTATACACAATACTCTTCTGTACTACATACAATGAAGATTGCCTGCAGTTGGTCAGCAATTGGATACAAAAATGACAAAGCCAAATCTGTTCTGAACAAAGAAATCTACAGCATTGGCATTCTGAGCATGAACAACATGAAAGGCAAGATTTTTTTCCTTCCTGCCAAAATAAGAACCAAAGCAATTTGCTACTGAAAGTTTAAGGAGATTTTCTGCTTTAACTTTTTTAGTGTAAATTTACTAAAGCATAACTTATTTTATTATATAGGAACCAATATATTTTCCCCTTAAAAAGATATCCAGGCAACTGCAACTAGATGTAAATCAAAGATTCAAAATAAGAAATGTAAATCAGATGAGATTTAACTAAGATTTGTAGTCACAGAAACAATATTATTAGGCAAGTAACTATTGGAAATGTACAACATGTGGACATTGATAAAACCAGTACATAATTGTCACCCATGTACTGCACTTGATTAGAAATAAGAAAAAAACTCAATTTAGAAGCAGCAAAAGTATTTCCTTAAATATTTCTTTTGAACTTTTCACAACCAATGTCACTATCAACATTCAATATGTCAGTATCCAATACAGCAAGGGTGGCCAATCTGTGGCATACATGCCACAAGTGAACTGGATGGCCTTTGTGTGAAGCACGTGAAACAATGGGGAGAGGACAGAGAGCAGAAAGCAGGGCAGCAAATTGGGCAGGGAAAGGGATGAGTGGCAGTCAGGAGAGGGCAGGGCTAATTTGC